CGTCCATGAGTTTGCCAGACTCTTAGCTCAAATCTCCATCGGAAGGGCTGAGGTGCTGTGCGTAAAAGAGTCTGGCAAAGGGCGGTTGGGTTTTACAAAATTTTCCAGAAATTAAAAAAAATTTTGGCATGACCCTTCTCCTTTTTGACATTTTCTGGTTCAAACTTACCTGACCTCTGCCTCTGCTTCTTCTGCTTGGGACCAATCTGAAACCTATGTCTTCTTCCCATTTTCAATTCCATGCTTTCCTTTGTCATCAACCCCTCTGAGCTGGATAGATAGCAGCCTCTTCAAATCAATTCCGAAAACTCGAAATGAAGACGATATCAGCTGAACAGTTAGAAATGGAGTAAAGTGTGAATATGAATTGAAGAATTAAGTAGCAAAGAACCAACAGTGACTTCAACCGTCCTACAGATCGTCTACATCTCTAATGCACCCCATATTAGTTATCGTATAACGGAAACTGACACAACGAAATAAAACAAGTGAATAAGAAACCGAACTTGACAAGAAGAGGAGGTAATATGAGAAGGAATGACAACTGTCGAACAAAGGGTTATTCAGAAGTATACGACGGAGCAAGACAACCATAAGGAAATGAGAAACAACGATAAAAACTATCATTCATGAACAGTCAATCAGAAGGGACACTACAATCCATGTGCGCCAGCCACAGAAATAGTTTCTGCTGAATGTAAACACTGAAGGAGATATGTTTGACTAAATATCAGAATGGAAGAAAAGCAAAATCGTATAACAACAACTGAGAGGGAGACGAGCGATAAAAAGTCAGTTCAACTTCTTTCGAGAAGAGAACAGCCGAGTCTTTCAATTTTTCGATCAAAAATGAAAACGTCACTACTTCACTAGAACTCTTCAAAGACGGCAAAAAAAGACATGAAAAGGAAGAAGAAACCCTCTCTTGTTCATCCGAATAATGGTTAAACGATTTCGAAGAAGGGAGACTGTTGCAACCTTCCTCACCAACGACGTTAGACACGCCGATTCAAAATGAAATCATACCATCAGCTCACACGAGGTGCGCATTAAAATAAGAAATTACCTCGAACAATCGGAAAGAGAGAAAGGGGTGATGAACAGAAAAGAGAGAGATGGTACTATCACACAAGATTCCAGCCTGAGTAGTTGAAATGAATGTTCATGGACGAAACGAATGACAAGGAGTATGAAGTAAGAATTGATATATAGGAGTTCATAAAGCATGAGGATGCTATCAGCAAGTGAAAAACACCTGCGAAAGGTAATGATGAAAAGTTAGGCAAGGAGGCTGCCGATAAGAGAAACTTCTCAACTATGATCCTGCAATGCTCAGTTGGGTAAGAAACAAGATGATTCAGAATCGCTTCTGAATATAACTATGAGATTAAGTAGATTCTTCATGGATGCGAACAAGTAAAATTGAATCCAAAAACACACGACATAGAACAAATCAGCGATGGTTGAGAGCAGACATTGGAAACGATGACATGGGAACTCCCAAATAATCAATCGATAACCTGTAAGTTTAGAAAGATAGAAGAAATACAGAAAATCAATAACAGCAGAGGATGGGCAGCTTGGACGAAACTACAACAACGAACTACAAAGTGGTATTGGTGTTGATGATAAAAAAAATTAGTTTTTGGGAATTTTGAAAGGTCTGTTGAGAGGCTGTTTCATCTTATCTGATCAGATGAAAGTGAATCATGCGGAGAAGCATAACCTAACCTCTGCATGACAAAACATCTTTGAATAGCACGAAGCTTAGAAATTACAAAATAATAAATACGAATTATTGTTTTCGCTTCCTATGTTCACTGGTTGGATATGAAAGTTCGCAGCAGAGCACATGCTGTGGGGCCATTAACCGGCTCTTCTATGAAAGGAGTTTTCAACAAGACTTTAGAGTAAATTAAACCTATTTTCGATGCGTCTTTTTCATAAAAACAACAAATAAACGTCATATTTAAGTGTAAAATCAAATTTTGATATGAAAAAACCCAAAAAACATCTTATTTCATCAACTTTGAGTTACATCGTTTTTCGAAAAGAGAACAACCGGGTCATTTTTTTTTCACGTAAGAAATTATTTCCACGTGACGCGTTCCCGCGGGAGTAATTAAGCCGTGGAGCTTCTGAAACGCGTCAGTTGGCGGTGTGAGCCAGTGTGCTCCACTCCTCTCTCTCTGGAGTCTCCAGAGGGAGGCAAAAGCTCATCGGCTCGCAAAGCCAGGGATGAGACCTGGACAAGTCCGGGTCTTATCTCAAACGCACCGAAAGGTTGCATTCCTCCAAAAATTGTTCAGAACGGTTGCATTCTACCCAAACCAATACCTTTCTAGAGGCGAATTCGTCGAAGATTCTATCAAAAACTTGTTGAACTTCCCTTGAATCGCTTGAGAGCAGAACAGCATAAGGAACGAGTTTATTAGAAAGACTTTGTACAATCTTCCCAAGTATCTTCTACAGATGAATTATAGTAAACAGACTCTGTTGGAACTGATATAGCCATTGGAGCGTTCGCATCTTGCTACGCACTGTGATATATCACTGACGTCAAGAAAAGTAACTCAGTATCTGAACTCCAGTATCCACAAAATTTCTTTATGAGTGGCCGTTTTAGGTGGAGAGATATTTAAACGCTCCCGCTACGAGTCCCCAGTACCTGCGCTGTAAATGTCTTGTATCATGTTTGATCTAGTCATGACAAGAAGTACACATCTCAGCAGAGTGAAGTTCAAGAACCAACCTTATCTAAGTATCCCTTTCACTTTGTTCCTGTAATCTGTGTTGGACATAAGAACATAGTATGAACCAAATATAGGATATATACTTATTGAAATGAAGGAACAATCAGAGAAGGCTCAAATGTTTGGAATTGAAAGTAAGTGTAGGAAAAGGATCGTACTCGTAATTCCAACTTGTAGAAGAACACTCCCACTCAGAACTAAGAACGGGCAGCCCAAGCCAACAATCTCCACAATTATCTGAACTACGTCGGTCAGCAGCAAGTGAGGAGAACCTTACGAAGTAAATAATCCCAGAAGTGATTTTGCGTTGATTCGCTAAGAACTGAGTCGACTGGGATGTCTTTGCTTGCTCTCTGATGCTCTGAATGAGAATGGAAACACAGACAGTTGCAACAATCCAGTAAAACAAAGTAGTCAGTGCCACGTATAATCAGATTATCATGATGCCACTATCTTGGAAAGAGGTATCACAGCCTCGTAGGGTATACATCTCTTCGGGATATTCATATGGCAGTTTTTGAAAGAACTGTTTGAGCGAGTCAAAGGGGAAATCCGAACCTCGAGACATGTCTGTCGCACTTGTTCTCCACCACATCTCAAGTTTGTACTACCAAAAAACAAGAAAACAAGTTGGCAACCCATCTGCACGAAGTATAAGGTCATTATGAGTTTTTTATATCTCTCCATTCTCGAACTGATTGGGAACACTCGATTGACGCCAAGAAGAACAGAGAACCCCGCACTGACTGATATGTATGTGTTCCATGTACTTTCTTTAGGTGTCTACCGCTGAGCAATGCCATTAGACACCACAGTTGATTCAAAGCACTCCTTCCTACAGTGGAGAGAAAACCATTTGTGTAAGATGTGAGAGATGTGCATGGGAGCAGTAAAGACGGTGTATACCCCAAAGTGAGGTAGAGCTGAGTTATGGCAGATCTTAATGAATGATGATGAAAGATTGAAGTTCAGAACTCACATCAAATCATGTCCATGAATCACGAAGCGGGTAAAGTTGTTGAACTTGGTTGGAACAAAGATGAGAAGCGAGAATGAGAAGAATAGAATGAAAAACCCAAAAACAGATAAACAGTACATGATTATAACATAGAGAGACATCTAAGATACTCGTAATCTCCTTGTTCAGTAGGAGATCAACGGTAATAGCAAAGTTGTGGAAAATTTTGTCCGTCTAAAACAAAACGATCGAAAATTGTATTTTTTCCGGACGAGAGCGTGCCAGAGCGTTCCGAGTTTTGAAGCTTACTACTACAACTTATCGGTACAATAGTTGCCAAGAGAGTAAACCAAATTACAACGCTTTGCAGAATTCAGAAACCACCAGTTAACAGTTGCACAATTGTCATCGTTTCAGGTCTAAAAGATACTCGAAAGAGTTAGACTGCCTGAATGTTACTCAGTCTAAAAATCTTGAAGACACACAATTCTTTGTTGTTCGGGATAGTGGGTCTCATCAGATGAGCTCTCGCTATGCATAGCCGTTTGATTCCATCATTTGATTTTCGAAACAGTAGCCTTTAGTTCAGCAACTATCTGGATTCAAAGATTCCTCTGTCTAGAAAAACAAAAACGTCGTTTCAGGTATACGAGAACAGATAAGAATCCGCAGTTCAGTGACAAACAAGTTAAAGAGTTTTTACTTCCGAGCTCGTGCAGACAAAAAATGAACATAAAAATAAATTACTCAATAAAGAAGATCAAGGATTATTCAGATCAACAATGGAACAATACAACTGAAACAAGACAAGACATTAAGATGCGTCCATCATCACTCCTGCAGTGTGAAAAGCGGAGTAGAGAAAGAGATTACGTAATGGCTCTTTGTTTTCAGACAAAGCCTAAATCAAACTCTTGAGAGCTGCATGATTTTGATCTGGGTTACCTTAATACACTCCTGGCCAATCAGGCCTCCGATAGTTGCGCAAACTGGAGATAGCTGAGAACCGAAGAAACTGAAAAATACGGGTTTCCGTAACACTAAAACATGAGTTAGCTCACTATTCGAATTTCTCTTTCGCCAAATCCTTCAAAGGCTTTTCTCCCAAGTTCAAGTCATTGACCTGTGTGAATAATTTAAAAAGATATGAACAAGAAACGAGAGAACTTCTTTTTGGAAGATTTTGTAAACATTGTTGATGTCTTCTTCCGTATTTCCACTTAATTGGTTTTGCTCTTGTGCTTTGATTAAAGCTAAAAACTATCTTGAGCAGAATACCTTTCTTCTAACCTATGAGAGGAGGGTAAGCTGGCGGGATTCTTTGCTTAGTTCTCTTTTTGAACTTCAAAGCCCAGTTGAAACGAATGGAGTCTTCGAACGACGGGTACGAGATTTTCTGAAATATCACGAGTTAGTTAGTAAGAAGAAAGCAGAGAGTACCTCTTTCACTAACTGGTCATCTTCTAAGGTGACAGCTTTGGTATCATCAACTGCACAGTCTACTCCGAAAACTTGATGATCCTGTTTAGCAGGCCTAATTTAAATTGTATGTAGCGATCATGATTTTAGGTAGTTACATCAAAAAGTAATGTTGATCAAAGTCAAAGAAACCATATCCGATCCATCCGAAAACACTTCCGGACACGAACCTAAGGAAGCTATCAAAAAGAAATAACACAGGTTGTTCTCACTTTATATTTTTCTCGCGGCAGATTTTATTCCACTTGTTTGTCGCTTCAAAAGTTTGATCAATAAGAACTACCAGAGTGAAAGAGTTCACAAAGTCGGCAGGTTTTGATTCAATTGAAACTTCTTCAACAGTGCATTTAACCATGGGGTTGAGAGATTGAGCTTTGACGGTAGAAGAAGAGGCTCTCTGTGATGTCATGGAAAGAGAAATTACTAAGATTACTCACATTTTTTCCGATGGAATCAGGAGAAAGCAAGAAGTTGCTGTCATAATCTTCCGCCTTGACAGATTTCTCATCTAACAAAGTGATATCCTGAAGAAATTATGAAAATGAGATAAACGAACGCAAGGACCTTGATTCCGCACAACATCAAGTTCTTGACAACTTCGGCTCCGAGACCGGAGAGGCCACAAACCAATATGGAAGAAGTTCTCAGCCTGAAAAGCCACCAGACGATCATATCTCTCAGGGCTGTAGCTCTCACTTCTCTTGAGCTTCGAAACCCCACAACCTAATTTGTCGATCATAGATTTGCGCTTCATCTTTGGACAATCCAGCGTTTTGGGAGCCTGTCATTCTTAGCTAAAGTAAAGATCTCAAGAACAGAACAAACAATGAATGAGATAGTTATCCACGCCAAAACACTTCGATCCAACCCAGCAATGAATGATAAAATTAATTATTTATGTACATACACAGATCGAAATTGAATCAAATATAACAAAGAACAATAAAAGATATCACATTAGAATACGAAGAGTATACTTCCATTTGCTTTAGTTCCTACGACCCGAGCAAATCTTTGCGACATAGAAAATGAAAAGGGAAATATGAAGTTTGCAATGTCTTCATGGAATGTGCAAGAGTTTGTTAATTATATCCAAATGACTCTCAATTAGCGCATAATATTAGAAGTAAAACAATGACATACAACATATCAATTCCAAAACTTTGTAATCGTTTACTAACCCGAAACTTTCTTTTAAGCATGGATACTAGTTTGACCCCAGTAAGGTCTGTGACCACTATATTCTTTCAAATCTCTATTGTCAGTTGGTGAACTAACGGCATTAGGCGAATTAACTTCTCGTCGTAGAAGGCTTGCACCTGCCTACAAAACAATCATTGCGAATGCATGAACTCAAGAGTTTCTTACCTTTCCCGGACGGATCCATGTACAGATGAAGCCCTCCTGGCACGCCGTTACAATACAATCTCGACGGAACTCCAAAGCCGTTAGACGTTCGTGAGCGATTTTTTTGCATATTAACGGTTCTAAAAGAAATCAGACATTAACAGATGAAATACTCTTGAGAAAGAGCTCACCAATGACAGGAACATCTTCCATTCGAGGACAAACTTTTGTTCCTAAAAGTCGTGCTTCATCGATTGCAGAAGATGATGAGCTGCAAGCGAGAGACTCAATTCTTCTCCTGCAAATGATTGATCGCTGATATTAATCACGTCTAGAACAAACCTGTCGCTGCTGGAACCACCTATCCGTCCCAACGTGAAACCTCTCCTGTGGAATCTTTTTTTCTTAGGCTTTTCTGATGAAGCCTCGGGAGATGCTTCAGACAACGGGTCTAACCGAGAAGAAGTTTGTATCTCTAAACCTGCCATAGGAGCGATAATGGTTGAGTTACGATGCCGTTGAACATTAGAAGGCTATAACAAGGAAATAGTTCAATGTGATGTAAAAACACAACTACCTTGAGCATATCTTCAGTTATATCCCATAAACAAATTTGAGTATCATGACCTACACTTCCTATTCTATAACATACCCCTAATCCAGTCTACAAAACGTCAGTTTGAGAATAGAGATGCCAACGGTAAGAACTCACATTGCTTGTTCCATTCAACGTCCCGAAAGAAGCATATGAACATCTTGATAGCGGTGGCATAGCATTCACTTGCCGTCGATGTGCTTTAATTATCATTTTACTCAGAATGTGAAAAAGCATCATACCATTCCGAAAAAGAGGAGTTGAACCATCAATCTCCGTATCCGCTTTGTTCGGACTACCGGATCCTCTTAAATCGTCTTCGGAACAGACATCTAATAGAATTCCATTCAACTCATTATCCGTATCTACTGAACACGAGTAAGGATCGAACGAAACCTGGAAATTTAAAATAGATCTAACAGAACGATATACACAAACCTGGGATATCCAACTCTTATGTCCCTGTCCTCTACATATTACTCTTTTCTCGTGAACATTGTAAACAGTCAGAAGATCATCTTCACCTCCGGTTGCGATAAGTTTGGCATCAGGGCTCCAAGCAAGTGTTAATAATCCACCTGAAAAAGGAAATATAGATAGAAGAGGACATGGGTAGTGAGTACCGAAGTACGATTTCATGTAAGAGAGTAATTCCATTTGGTGATAATTGAATATTCGTAGGTATCCGTCCTAAAATAGCAACATATAAAGTTTCAAAAAAGAGAAACTCACATGACCAACAGTAGCTAATAACTTTGCATCACTTCCGGAGAAAGCAAATTGGTTAATGGCTCCACTTTGTCCTATCTGCCATCGATACACTGGATTTCTCATCGTTTTAGTTTTGCAAGTTGAAATAGTGAATTTATCGCCCTATAATTGCGATATACAATAGTTGAATGCACGAGAGATTATCTATACCTGCTTGAATACTTGAAAAGCAGGCACAGTCTGGGGACATTGTAGATCTTCATTATACAGATACATGAAGCCACTAGAGTATGAAACGAGGAAATGATTTTTTTCACCTGAAGCTCGAAATATGAGAAATACAAATAGGTTTGGCTTACCTGGGACCCATTTAACACAAGTAACAGATGATTTGTCGATGAATCGCTCTTCATTATAAAGCCTACTTGATTGGAAATCCTTATTGAACGGATCAATGAGCTGTATTTGTCCCGCCGAGAATCCAATCAGGAGACTAAAAGAGCATGAATGAAAGGAGAATAGAAAAGTAACCCAACCTGCAAGCATCAGCAGAAGCTGTTTCCGTATTGAAATGATGGCAAGTTGGGAATGTTCCTTTATACACCCGTTTATCGATAGGCTTACTCAAATCGGCAGCACTTTGCGGACCTCTATAACAGCAAAGAATACGATAGGGAGGTAAGAAGATAACGTACTTATATACATAAACATAAATTTCTCGTCCGACATTGAAACATATTCTATCACAGCTTTGATCTTCATAAGGCTCTTCAACATCACTCAAGTTTGAATTAGAAAAAGCTTTTTCCTAGAAAGAAAATATATCTTCCAGACTACGGATTTGGGAAACAAACCTCTTCCCTAACCGCGAAAGTTGGCAAGTTAAGAGATAAGAAAGACACACGGACAGGTGCTCCAGCTGAATTAGGTACTCCTGCTTGTAACTGCTGAATACATCTGATTGTACAAGTGAAAAACAGAAATGCAAACTTGATTAACAGGTACTCGTGTGGGCCTTGAATATTCAGCTTGCGGCATGATTTTGTAAGTACCTTCTCTAGTAGTAAATTGAGTTTTTAGCTCTTCTTTAGGTTGATTGAGAGTATGGTTTAGTAAAGCTCCTTTAAATAATAATTAAATTTTTTTATAAATTTCGAAAAAGCTTTACCTTCACTTATAGCAGTCGAAGAAGGAAGGCCACTAGGCCCAGCAAGTGCCGACGGCCCACTGAACAAGTGGCTGTGCATCATTATGACTGAACATATGGATTAAATTTTTTAAAAAATTTCAAACTGACCTCATTAGTGGTAAAAAGACTGTCGACATTCCGCATTATATTAGAAAGAACTCATTATGAAGATTTGAAAGCTTAAAACTGAGACAATTGAGAAGCTGATTTGCTTTAGTCGCACACGCGAAATTGCGTACGCGACCGACAAATCTAGCTGGTCCATGCTTCAATCCAATGCATGCATCTTCAGCTGTATTGAGGTTTTCAAATTTTATTTTATTATCCGTGAGCTTTGTACAACTCGCATTGAGCGAAAAACAAAAATTATCACATTGAAAATACAATTATCAACACCAAGTATATAACAACAATCAGTTTGATACAATAATAATAACAAATAAACAATTATTTATTGGGATTGTAGATTCTCTTCTTGACGTGAGTGATTCTCCAGCCATTAACCTCGGCATGTTTGTCGAACAGTGGATTGATCTTTTGGTTTCTCTTGAATGCAGATAACTTCGTAGAATCTCCAACTTTGAAGAAAGATGGAGCATACTCTACTAGCCATTTGGGATCGATTGTCGTTACCTAAATTAGCTGATTAGGTAAAACACAATAATTAAGGATACCTCTCTCATGTATTCTTTAGTGGTCATGACCAATTCGTGATAAACTACCCATTCTGGTTGATTTTGGAACAAAGCAGAGGAAGGATGAATATATACATTTTGTCCGTCAACCAACGTACGATAGCCTTCCTGTAAACAGATGGATATAGGATATACGATAGAGCTTAGGGGAAACCTGAGGATCGCGCTTGGCAGCATTCCTGAAGAAACCTGAGCAAATAGCTTTTTGAACCCGTTGTACTTCTCTGCCACAGCTGATCATATCTAACTTATGACGATCCATAATTCCCAATAATTGCTTTCTCACATCCTAGAACAAACTACTTAGAGAGCAGTGCCAAGTCACCAATCTAACCTGGCAACGTTTTAACGTTCTTATTTGAATGTAGTTTTCGTAGCACCAAGGCTGACTGAAATGATGATGTTTCCAAGAGTTATAAACAGCCAGTAGTGTCAGATGGTCTCCCTCTGGCTGATGGAATTTTGCTTTCTTTTGATCGGCTTGCTCTTGTTTCTCCTTGAAAGCAAAGAAGTACAGGTGAATAGAAAGTGTACCTTACCTTCGGTCGGTAGAAAACATTCTGCACATTCAGCATAGACACTATTGTCAGAACTTCTTCCGAACATTTCAATTCAACAGACATAATGAGCAACTTGGAAAGAGCAGGATCTAAGGGGAACTCTGCCATCTGTGAAAAAAATAGATAAGATATTAGAAAAGGAGAACTGCACTTACTCTTCTTCCTAACTTTGTAAGAAGTCCATCTCCGTCTAAAGCTGATAATGTATGCAGCTCACTTAAAGCCGTAATCATAGAATCTAGAGGTGGGGCATCCATGAAGTCAAAGTCGATCAAATTATTAATTCCCATAGCTTTGAGCTGGAGTAATGTGGCAGCCAGATTGGTTCTTTGAATTTCGGGAACGGGAGTAGGTAACATTTCATCTCTGTACATAAATGGATAAGCACTAGAACAGACTCTCAAAATACCTGTAAGCTCTTTCGGTGTAGAGTCGATAGCATTTACCGGGTCCAGTTCTACCGGCTCTTCCGGCTCTTTGCTTCGCAGCAGCCTGACTAATGGGAGTAACTACCTATAGATGGTTGGTAAGGTGACAAGATCAAGTGGGTGACTAACCAGTGAATCCATACCACTCTTGGCATTGTAAATCTTCTGTTTGACGAAACCTGGATCTACTACATAGAAGATTCCATCGATAGTTAGAGATGTTTCAGCGATATTAGTGGCAATGACTACTTTACGTTTTCCCTCAGGAGCTGGTTCGAAAATTCGTGTTTGCATTTCGGAAGGCAGTGCTCCGTAAACGGGTAGAATGATGAGGTCCGGGACATCAGGACCTAGAGACTTCATTCGTTCATATAGAACTTCACAAGAAGTGTCAATTTCTTCCTAAAATAATCACAGTAAGCTAGAAATGGAGTAAGAGGTTACCTGTCCAGTCAAGAAGACCAAAATGTCTCCTTTGGGTTCAGTTAAATGAATTTGCATGACTGTGAGATTTGCAGCTTCCAAGTAATCCGTCTCAGGCTCTCTTGTATAAAGAATTTCGACAGGGAATGTACGACCAGGGATCGTGAAAATAGGAGCTTGAAGGAAATACTCGGAGAACTTCACTGCATCAAGTGTAGCTCTTAAAAAAAGAAATTAACGCACGAGGAAGATATTAAAAACATACGAAGTAATAATAAGCTTCAAATCGGGTCTTTTTCTGGCGGCTGCTTTCAGAAGACCGAAAAGAACGTCTGTATGGATAGTACGTTCGTGAGCTTCGTCCAACATAATCAATGAGTAAGATGTGAGATCAGGATCTATCAAGCATTCACGAAGTAACATACCATCAGTGCAATACTTAATAATGGTGTCTTGACTAAAAGAAACATTTAACAAACAGTGAATGAAGTGCTATACCTTGTGCAATCTTCGAAACGAATAGTGTATCCAACTTCTTGTCCTAACTTCGCCCCGAACTCTTCGGCTACACGTTTAGCAACGGACATGGCAGCCACTCTTCTGGGCTGTGTGCAACCAATCTTTCCTCGCCTGGCAAACCCAGCTTCTACGGCATACTGTGTGAGCTGAGTAGTTTTACCGGAACCCGTCTCTCCGATGACGACAAGAATTTGATTGTCTGCCATAGCCTAGAAAATTTGTTGCAACTGGTGGCGATAGGACTGTTACCTGGATCAACTGTTGCTTCAATCCGAAGATAGGAAGAGACTCCCGCTGTTCCTTCATACTCAAGTTTGTCCTTTTTCCATAAGTAGCCTTTCCACCAGCAGTTACGTGTTTTAACCAATCAGGCATGTCCTAAATCCCTGGACTGTTTATTGAACGTGAACTTTTGCTTACCTTATCTCTTCGCATTGGTCCATCATCTCTAGAAGCAGGAGCTTGTCTCTCTTGCATGGGATCAAGCATCCTGGTTCCTGATAAGCTTCCTCTCTGGTCTTGCTGTTCTTTCTCTCTTTGAGACTGTATTTTGACCTCTTTTCTTTCTTTAGACAATGCTCCCTACAGAATAACATGATTTAACTCTAACGAGCAATGCACCTCACCTGCATTAAAGCAGCTTGGGCCATACTTCCATCAGGGTTTTTCACAACCTTTACAGGCTCAATTTCTTGGTTCGATTTATTATAACCTCGGAGGAAGTCAGGTTCTTCTTCTACCAATTCGATTTCGATATCTTCTCCATCGGATTCTTCTGCAATCACAGCGTGAAAAAGAAAAGCAAAGCTAAAAACCTTCATGAGTCTTCAGCACTCCCAACTCTTCGTCGTAATCAGGCATATCCATAAATCCAACAACACCAGCACCCTTCATCTGTTGAAGCTCCCAGCGTTCAGGGGTAGATAGTTTAGGTCGACTTTTTCGGGAACTGAAATTGCTTGTTCTGTAATAAAAAAAAAGGCCATGAATACCTCGAGTTAGGAACGGCCTCCATCGCTTTTTCAGGGTTAGCCCAAGGAGCTTCAGGGTTCCGGATTGCCACACCAACAGCATCGTCAGACAGTTTACTTTCTGGAGGATTGAGATCCTCACCAGTATTCTGGTCAACCTCCTTCATACTGAGTGATATTTTGTGTCCTGAGATTTCCAAAACCTACAAAACAACATCCTTTTTCTCAAACTTCTTATGAAAGCACTTACTTTCACTTTCACTTTTTGATTACGAGAGAGCTCATCAGAAACCGTCTTAACTCTATCTTTCTTGATTTGTGAAATGTGTACCAGTCCTTCTATTTTAGTACGGAATCCGAGCAACTAAAGGAATAATATGTGAATTGATATTAAGACTGAGCATACCCGGACAAAAGCTCCGAAATTTTGAATATTATTGACTTCTCCGTTATATATTTTTCCAACTTCAGCAGCATCTGGAAGGACTCTAGAGCTTCTACGATCATCTTGATCTCTTCCATGTCTTGCGCCGCGATCACGACTTCTACAATGAATTGTGTGTTATGTTACAGAGAGCATAACTGTACCTCGAACGTCTTCTTTCACGTGAACGATCCTTCCTATCACGCGAACGATCCTTTCTATCACGCGAACGAGATCTTCTTTCACGTGAACGAGATCTTCTATCTCTATGTCTATGGCGATCTCTACTTCTACTTCTCTTGCGTTTTCTGAAGTGATAAGTTTGATTGAAAGGAAATCATGAAACTACAAACCTATCTTTCCTATCTCTAGACCCGGACCTGGAGCGAGACCTTGAATGTGATCTCCTTGTCTTTTCACTACTCTCTGTTACTTTCTAATAAGAACAAATTCAAAAAAAGAATATGAAAATCAAAACACTTACTTCTTCTTTCCATTTTGGCATTAATCCTTCAATCTTCGACAAGAGATTGTCTGTACTTTTATTTGGCATGGCAAGAGCCGGTAAGCGGCACTAAACAACGACAATGAGAAAAGGTAAAGAGTGAAGTCTACCTTAATTTCTTCTTTGGCATCGGAGATCAGAGTGATTTTGTGATTTTCTTTAGCTGCTGCTTTTTTTTCTGCCGAGGTCATATGCTGGATCAAACGCAGTAAGTTTGATATGAGGGAATCGTTAAACTGAAGGATTAACTTCCGAAAATCTCGTGAAACTCAAAAGCTTACCTGGTCGCCCAAATCATTTTCTATTAAGGCGGCTTTGAATAGTTTAAAACTGTTGTTTTTGGTAGCTAAGTGAATAATAAATTCGGCTGCATCTCTATCCGAAACTCCGAAGTGATTTTCGATTTCTGAGCAAACTTTCGATACTAACGAATAGTAGTTAAGCTTATCCATCTGTAAATATTTATTTGAATCAAAATATTGGAATAAAAACATGAATGCAACCGAACGAACTACCAGAACCCTTCTAATGGCTTACATCGAGTTTTCGAATATGCAAAGCTGTAAACAGCATGCACATTGTTGTAAACGGCATACAAACAGTCTGGCTGAACACAAAACCAACATGATCGTTGACATTTATAAAAATTGAAAACATCGAATAATAACTCTTCATTTTCGATAGATTTATTTTTAACAATTTTGGTGATTGAATGAAATCCGTGTTTCATGTTCATGCTTTCCGAAGTTGTACCTCATTGTTGTTTTATTGGAGCTCTTGAAGACATTTGGTCACGGAATTTGAAATCTTCACTACAACCCATAATTTGTCTCACTAACGATATATGTAAATACCATCATTATTACAACGACTCATTGAAAGATAGCCATGATCCCCGAAAAAGGCACGACAAGCTTCCTTCTAGTTTGAGAAGAAGATATGAAAGAGTAATGGAGTCTTTACATGTGTGGAATTCTTGAATGAAATAAAAAAAAAGCCAACCGATCTGCATGCCTGTAGATGAATGAATTAATAAGCGCGTGTGCGGATCACGTGTTTCACGTGGCTCTCAATTGTATGTAGTTTGACCTCAACTGCCTCCTTCTTGCAAATGCAAATATAGTTCAGTTCAAGCTTGCTTTCTGACATACTAGAAGCATAACTTTGGTGATCGATGTTAATATTAGTCTGGCAAATCCTTTTTTGGGGTCTTTTAAGACGAAATAATCCCTTCCAGCCTACATGCTTCGCAGTGCACTTTTATTGGCATTCTCACTGAATTTGTGTTTCTTGCATTCTTTAGAAAAATAAATGAAACCGAAACGAAGGAGAAGCTCATTTGAAAGAATCGATGAATAGTCTTGATATTTCTAAATGAAGAATCATTCAAACATAAAACAAGCAAGTGAACCATTACAATTCCTTTTGAAAAACTAATCTTTCTGCTTTGTATAGTTGAAGGTTATAATTTGTATTATAATATAGCGATTGCTGTTATAACGGAAGTAATTTATATCCATAAGAATTTATGAGCTTTTCAAGTAGATTCAGCTCATTTTCATTTGCTTTCAAAGAATATCCATTAGACTGCGATTATTCACAGACTTCTCCTTGCAAATAAAAGTTTTTGAAAATCCTTTTGTGCGTCTGTGTGTGTGTGTGTGTGCTGAAGAAAAACGAAATCAAGGCTCGCTATGTCCAATGATTAACCACAAATTTTGTTTTTAAGCCATTAAAATTTTCATTGAAAGCTTTCTTTCTGTGCCCCATCTGCATGGCTTCTCTATATAATTCCATTATTTCAGCGATTGCCTGAGGGGTTGGACCAGAGCAACTGAGGGCCTGAGGGATGTGGGCGGAGCTGAAGGCGGATCGATGCTGCCTTAGAGGGGCAGTCGTCTCTCCAACTAACCTACAACATGGCCGGAACCGCTGATGCTGCTGTAAGTTTCACTTATAAACACATATTATATTTTATAAAATAAAAGAAACGTATTAAAATGAAGGAGCTATTTTGCCTTTTTCTCTCATAACTTCCATTTATGAAATCGTTTCGAGCTTAATTCGATTGTGATAAGCCCACCTAGTAGAGAGCTGCTTCACAAGCAGCGCTTTGTTATTGAAATTTTAAATGGCAACTAGGCTGAAAAGTGGTCAGATTGACAGAGTTGTAGCCGTTTGCCAGCTCAATAAGCGCTGTTTCGCATAAATTAAGAAGCAAGAGTTAATGAGATTCGAATGTAATGAAACTTTTCATTCTTTTGTCAGCTTTCATCGCATGTTTTCTCCTCGTTTCTGCACAAAGCAATCTGCCATTGCTTTGATATCGGTTTCCTAGATGAGAAACGAACGAAAAAACTTGAGCGTGATAGCTTGAAAGCAAAAAATGTTGGATTTAGGCCCACGAGACGAGTAGAGAAAAGAAGGCAAAAACAAGTTTAACGTTTAAGTTCAGCGAATGTCAGTTTCAGAGGCATTTTTGGCTTTTTGACAAGAAAGATCCTAATTTCAGTTGTAGCACAGCTGTCAGAAATATGATGATGATGATGAACGCAGCATCATGTATAGTCTGCTTCAATTCAATGCTTGAAGACCATATAAAGCATGAAAGATGAGGTGCTCGGTCACTCCTATTAATTGAAATGAGAACATATCCATATGAGAGCTCAAACATACTCTGAGAGTGTTGGAAGATTATAAAAGCATCAGCCTAATCAGGTCTTATGTAGTTTTGATCATATTTGTTGGTCTTTTTTTTTATCTACAAGATCTGATCCCTTCATTAGTCTTGCTGAAGCCAAATGACATCTCTCCTTTCATTTCGAACATCCATCTATCTTTTTTTCCTTTTTTTTTGCTCTCAATTTGTAATCATCTAACGTTTATGCTTTTTCTTCTATTCCACATAAACGTTTTAACAAGCTTAACCTAGCCTACTCATCACATTTTCTTCCAAAAGAGACACGAAACCATCAAAGGATAAGAAGCTATTGCCTTGGCTGGCAAGAGCAGTAAATTTCGTCTTTCAATGCTCGTAGACGTCGTCGTCTCATGGCATTCTCTTTCGAGCCTCTCTTGGCACACTCTTAAGCTTACTCTATATTTCCTTTTTTCATACAATTTTCTCTTTCTCTCTTCTTCTTTCTAGCTGTTTCTGTGTCTATTTGCTGCTAGGAGCTCTTTTCTCAGGACCCACTAGCACCCCTGAAGAGCTATCGATCAGCCCGACATCTCAGAAGGCCGAAAGAAGCCAAAGAAGAAAAAGAAAAGAAAAAAGAAGTAGTAGGAACCAACTAGTATAACCAACGCAACATAGGCTTTAAATTTTTTTCCTTCATTGGGAAGAAGCAAAACATGAAAGCTTTTTGGAGGGAGAAGCATGTTCGATGATAGCTCTCATTATTTTTGTTTCTAAGTCAAGTGCACATGATATTCAAAGCAATGGAATAGTGGCTATAGCTATTAGCATCAAAATGTGTAGCAGATAAATAATAAGTTGACACACATTTGAAAGAGAAGCTCTGAAGCTTTTTCAGTCAGTCAAAAGCTTTTCCTTTAATTTAGTTGATGCTGGGCACGTCGATCTTCCTCTCTCTGAATAAGTATAGAGTTGAGTTATCGAATGTGTAACCATATATTAAAGAGAGAAAGAGGCTTTAAGACACAAGGAGATTGGTGTTGGTGGTAGGGTGGGGGGGGGAGATGTTTTATGAAAACATATTCTGTTGCCTCATACAGGGCTAGAAGGGGATCATTTCGTGCAACACAAAACAAAAAAAAATGAAAATTCCCCTCTCTTCAGCTTCATTAGAACATCAACAGAATTTGGTGGGAATTTGAACCACACGAAACTAAATAGCTGTTAGTATAGCCCCATTTTACGAATTCTTACGTTCGGCCTATTTTCTAAACATCCATGGTATTTAAAAATCACCACGAAGCTCTATGAGATTTTCTCGTTATCCGAAGTTAGCGAGCCTGCAACTTCGTTAAGGAGAAAGCTTTCGACTCACAATAAGCCAAAGCTATAACGAGCATCGTGTTACCACGGGAGGAATGAATATGAAAAAAAAACGTGCTCTCTCCTTTAGAATTACACATAAGGAAGAGGTTCATTGGCAATGTTTCCGCTAAGTATATCTCTCTGTCTCGCTTGTCAGTGTCTGGTTTCTTCTTCCAAATCAACTGAAAACCACCGTAAACCACATGCACCACCTTCTCTTGTTGTCTTATTTTCTTTACTTTTTTTTCTTTCTTCGTGGTATTCAACTAGACAAGTCAGGCATTGCTTCTCTCTCCTTCTTTCCATTTTTCCTCATTCAACCTCCAATTTGTGAAAATTTGCTCTCTCTTCTCATTCCTTTCCTTCTTGCCTCTCTTTCATGCTTTTCAATGTGTTGCCTGAAATGAAGGCAGCATCTCTGCTTCACAATGCTTACATATTCTCTTCTTTTAACAGCTTCTCTCTCCCTCTCTCTCTTCTCCTACTGTGGGCTATGTATGAGCTTCATCCAGTGCGCATAAGAGACGTAAATGTGGTCAAAGGTCTCCGCACGATAGTCGATAATTGTTCAAAATGAAGTGCGAGTGCGAAACATTTCCATTCAAAATGAGCATTTGGATGCTCTTTCCTCTCTCACTCAGGAAATTGCACATAATGGCATATGAGGTCATGTAGTTTTTCCGTAATAACTACGAAACAAACTCAAAAACTAAACAAAAATGAAGGGAGGAAGCTGGTACTTCAGAATTTCTGAGTTGACAGTTGAGAAAGAAACAAAAAATCTCGGCGCAATGATCTGTCCTAACCGCTGGTAAACATGGAAAAAGTTGTTTTCACGACTACTCCAGAATTTATAAATATGTAACAAAAGCTGAGTTGTGGAGAAAGTTTCCCATTCTCTCTCCCTAGGCCCTATCCCCAAACTCCTCATGAGCAGCTAAATCAAAACAAACTAACTCTGAAAAGGGGATTCAATGTTCTTTTTTTTCAGAAACAAGCTTTGAGCTCAATCTTCGATAAAACTAAGGATGTCTTGTCTACTGCTGCTGATGCTACCAAGGGATATGCTACCCAGGCTCAGCAAGCCATTGGAAAAATAATTCCAGGAGCTAGCCAAGATCTTCAAGATCCCGTATGTTTATTTTCTCATGAATGAAAGGATTGAACCTTGACTCTCTTGCAGAATGCTGTTGCACCAGCTGCCACGGATGCTGCTCCAGCTCCACCAGCACCAACTCAGTAACTTCCACAAGTCCTTCCTGTAACACAAGCATTTATCACTCTAATCTCCACAATAATCTTATTTATTAACTTTCTATGAGCACATTTTTGATTCAAATTTCATAGCTTATAGAGAGATATTTTTTATTTCTGACTAGTGTTTGAATTAAGAAATTCAGTTAAATCTATGTAGATCTCATCGATTGAAGAACTTTCTCTTAATAAACAGTCTTTGAATGTGTAGCATTGAGTGAGTAGTGGGTCACATATTGCCGATAACATACAGCGCGCCCATTGAGGGGGGTGTAGCTCAGTGGTAGAGCGCTCGCTTCGCATGCGAGAGGCCTGGGGTTCGATTCCCCATACCTCCACATATTTTTTTTATTGAAAAATATGAAGAAAAGAAAAGTTTTAAAATTTTTATAATTTTTCTAATGCTTTCGATAGTGGGAGAGAAACTTGCTCCATCTTAATCACAAATAGTAAAATACATTTGAAGCCATCACATCTAAGAGAAATCTTCTGATAAGAACAGGCAATATAGGCACCGACGGAGATCACAAAGGCTCTAAGTTTGATAAGTACACTTTGAAAATGGCAATTACGCAGGGGGGTACGAGATGACATGGTTTGAAATAGAAAAGTTAAAGCAAATAATACAAAATAGGAAAGAAGTTAGAATAATACTAAAGCACCTCAAGCTATAGTAACAGAACACGTTGAAACAGAACAAGTAAGAGCTGAAAATGGAAGGTACAATGTGAACCAGATTGCTGGAACCGAGCTTAACTTAACACCGGTCATTTGAAACGCTGTTGAACAACTTGTAAAAGAAATAATATGAACTTAATCGATGATTTTTTTCAGCTTCAGTAGGCCTCGTTTGCCATTGAAAGATAGAATTCTTCTTACACGTCGTCTTGTACAGACAAAACTCCCAAAACTCTCTATCTCTCTCGAAAACTGAATGTTGACGAGTATTATGAGACTCCATATACAGACTATCTTCTATTGTTCTACGCAGATTATTTTTCGAGGCTGTCTAGCTTTCCGACGGCCTGATCCGAAAATGGGAATTGGATTTGAATCATTTCCGGATAAAGAAAGAGTTGGGGATCCCGAGTGATTGGAATGACTAGAAGCTGCTCCAAGCGAAGCCTACAAAAACCAGAAGTTACTCCATAATCAGCAGCAATAGGATCACCTCGTTTTCTTGGTTGTCAGCTGATGAAGGAGAATCACGTCGATTGGGAGAAATATTCAAGGAAAGTGGCACTTTACTAACATCGCACTGAAAGGATAAACCTCTTCAAAATTATTCTTCAAAATCCGCTTGCCTTAGGAATATCACGTAAAGCTGAAGCCATCATCATCTTCTGTACGGTTGGTGATGTTTGTTGTTGAGCTTGTTGCCTTAAAAGCTTGAAATTTGCATATTCGTAAACAAACAGCATAGGAAACCTCAGCCTTTCCTCATTTTTCCTCCATTCACGGATGGAACTTTCAGCAACATTATATTCTCTACCAGCCGCTCTATTACCATTGTTTTTGGCAAAATCAATTATTTCCAGCTTCTCATCAACACCATACGACTATAAAGGGAAAAGAGTGAAAATGAGAATTTTTTTGTTTAGTAATGTGTAAACTTGGACAAAAAGCTTGAATGCCCTTAAAAGGTCAAATAGCGTATGAAGGTTGTATATTACAAGCCTTTCTCAAGCTTCAACACATTACTAACTAACCCTAAGAACACGAATTGGAGGAGCGCCATCACTACTTGTATCGCTATTCCGACGTTTCCTAGATCGTCGTGACCCAGTCTTCTGAGTGGCCATGGGGCTTCTCCAATTCCACTCTGAAATGAGCAAAATATATTAATTAAGAACCAATAAATAAAGGATGCAATAAGTGTAAAAGCCATGAGAACACTTTTCACATCGAGATGATTCAGTTTAAAGCCCGTCTTGAATATAGAGGGAGAGAGAGTGAAAGGAAGAGAAAGAGCAAGAGAAGAATGAGAGGGAATACTAAAGCGCAAAGCAGAAGAAGAAGAAGAAGAAGCTGTTTTTTCTTCTTCAGCTTATAGCTTACAGAAATTATTTAAAATTTAGTTTTCCAAACATCAAAGTCCTTTCTATAGTTGCAAACTAATGTCCGTAACGAACGGAACCAACATTTCGTTGAAAAAAGAAAATTACTGGATGTATTTCTTTTACAAATAAAAAGGCGTCAGCTGTGACCATGAGGATTGATATCTTTCGGATGAATTTGTGTTCATTTCGACTAGTTCAAGTAGTGAAATAAACAAAAAACACACATAGTTGAGGAAGAAGTAATGAGTAGTTGCTTAAGAGTTTAGTCATGTAAAGCTGACTTTCTAAATATAGACATGGCTTCAGAATTTTGAGTAAGAAAGTTCGGAACTCCCATGAATAAGCTTTCATCTCGCCAGTTTGTGGCTATTGAGAAGGTAGTGAGATACTTGCATGAGCTCATTGGACAACTAAATGACTGAGAAAACAAATTTCAAGCCATTACCTCTGATAAACTGCTCCATGATTGTATTGAATAGATAGAATGTACAAATAAAAATATTTTTTCATACAAATTGTTGGAGAAGCTCTCCGGTGAGCTTAAAGCACTTCTTCGGTATCAACTGCAGCAGCCAAATATTGGAACTACTACGGAAGAGTTGCTCACTGATTTGCAACTGAGCTGAATGAAAGGAGGGGATGAGAAACAGATAGATGAGAAGAAGCCAAGTAGATGGAGCTGGAGACTAGTGGGAAACAGAAAGCCGTCTCAACTCTCCTATCCTCCACTAACACCACATTACAACAAAAGCCCGCGCGAGATTACTTCGTGGCAAGACCTCGAAGAACCGAGAAGAGCTGAAGAAAAGCAGCTGAGGAACTGCGCAGTCATAGCCACAACAGCCCCACACACAGACCGCCTCAGGCTTCATCAATCGATCCGGTGTGTATGTGTGAGTGTATGTGTATACGATGAATAGAATGTTATCAACAAACAGTTCGATAATTAGAATGAATGAATTCAAAGTGTTTTCCTCAGCTCATGCATCTAGCCACAGAAGGAAATGTGCATGAGCAGAGGATGGGAAGACGGGATGAAGCTCTACAAAGTTTCAAGCAAAAGTTTCAAACTGAAACTCATGAAAGAAGAAGAAGAAAAGAAATGAAACGAGAGCGCCAATATGCGTCTCTTTGTTTTCGAAGAAATCGGAATATGATGGGCCCGTGGAAGCTTACGTGGAATTTACGTGAATCACGTGATATGACGCCATTCATTTTTTCATAAATCGACGTGGAGAACGGTTGTGTGCAATATTTTTTCCACTTCACTCATCTACTATACTCCCTCCATGTCAAATTTTTTTTGTGATTCCGTTTGAATTCAGTCATGAACGCCCCTTCCTGACCCCATGATTAAGCTGAGGCATATACAAGCCGTTCACTAGCATTGTTTCTAAGACAAGTAAATAAAAATACGGATATTACTCGAAATTTATCCAATTTTTTCGTCGATAAATGGTTGTTGAAGCTATTTTTCATTGTTTTTTTCATGTTGTCTTATTTTCAACATCTTCGTCACAGCAAATTGGTGACTTTTCAACCATTTTTCGTCATTCGCGCAGTTGCTTAGCTTCCGACTGCACTTGCCACATCCGTCCCCATCACGAGTAGTTGACAAATTGAACGAAGAAACGGAAAGAAAAATGAAAGAGTGAAAATGAAAAAGAGAGAGAGAGAGGGAGAGATGGCAGGATTGAAGGAGAAGAGGAGATATATGTATATGTGAAAAACGAGTATGTTCCTTTTCTCCTCTGCTCTTAGGCTCTATGATGTGATTCAGAATGCCAGAATAGTCGAGACAAGGAGAAAGGGCATATTGCCCACGAGAGTTACAAACATCTTCATTTCCATCTTGTTTGGCTTGTTGCCAAAAGTAAAAACGCAAAAATAAACTTATTGACATATCATTGTTTCCAACTTGAGCAAATTGTTCATTAACAATGCTATTTTAGGTCTTCGAAATAGTGAAATGACTTCTTATAGTCATGAATGTGAAGAATGTGAGTTGACGAGGGTAGGGGGAGGGAGGCAATAAGATATGAAAGGAACGGCTACATGCAAGAGATTAAGAAGGCTGGAAGAGGATAGTCCGAAGGGAACTATCTGTCATAACATTATGTTTTTCAATTAGCTGATTGTTAGATTGAACAAAATGAATTTTGATTGAATAAATTGAAATGTAAATGATCTTATGAATGAATCAAACAGCAAGAATTCATGTGTGTATGTGTACGGATTGAAAGACGGATATGCTATTGCTTTTGCTTCTGTTGCTAGCTGCTGCCGCTGCTGAATGTTCATACTGAGGAGGAGGAGGAGGAGGAGGCAAATGGAGGGGGAACTCCATCCAGCCGTACCTCAATTGAATTCGTCTGTTTGTGCCTTCAACTAGCTGAGGTAGCCCTGCTAATGTGCTTTGGTTGTTGGCTATCAATCGATACTATCACAGCTCACTTGTCAGACAAAAAAAGTAGATCATGAACGAGAAATGACTGCCAATGACTCGCAACAGCTCAGATTCAGAAAAAAAACGATTCATTAGTGGAATGATTAAATATTAAGATAAAGAGAAGGGGGAGTTTCGAACATTGTGTAAAAGCTAGCATGTTCAGTTTGAACTGACATGGCATAGGCAATACAACCGCTTGTCCCGCTCAATGAGATTGCTTTTTGTGTCTGTGTCCCCCCAACCATAACCCTTTTTTTCTCTTCTGCACAAGCTTGCAATTGCTGGAGGGCATTGTGCAAACCGCGCGCGACTAGGCGACCGAGAGCGGATGCGACAACAGCCACTTGTTGTGTTCAGGGACTATCATCATAATATTAGCAGAAAAACCTATTGGAAATACTGTTATTGACGACGAAAATATAAAATGAAAGAGAGTACAGAATAAGAGAGAGAGCATGGAAATCTCAAACGTAATCGGTAACAATATCAGTGGAACAGTCACATATGATTCTAAATAAGGTGGTGTGGTCAGAGTTTGGGCGTGTCAGTCAGTCATCAACAGCTATATGAGCTCGAAAGATAGGCAGAGAATGGGCTGAGACTGAGCACAAGCTAATTGTCTCAATGAAAAACAAGGACTTGTTTGGAATTAAGTAAAAGAATTTGTAAATCGATTGCCAACCAAACTTTATAACTGAAAATATGAATGAAGGGTAAGTATAGCATCTCCTGGAATGAGCAGTAGGCAATTGAGAACTGAGATGGGTGTTGAGAATGGGTTGGCAATTGTCGATGGGGCTCCTGAGAGCTCAGTCAGCCAGCCACCAGAACGCCGCAATGATAAGAGCAATCTTTCTCACATTAGTGACATAGATTGAATGATAAGAAACAAATTGCTTTTATTGGCTTTTCTTCCCAACTTTCACAATCTGCATCTTCAGAAGCTGAATTAGACGTAGTCCAAGACTTGATCGTTAACGATGAGAGTTGTTGACACGAAATGTTGCTCAGGTGCTGTGAATGCGCCAGAGAGTGAAAATTGTTCGAAGGAGATGGAAGGAAATGGACAAGGAGAGATATGAAAGCATATAATTTATCCGAATAATCGTATTTTTAACCAAATATAACAATTTCTCGATAAAAATGAAAAGCTAGAAAGCGCTTGTTGGAGGCCGCGCACTGATAAGCGTGCGCGCTCTCAACTGGGCGAATGACTCAGTAAGCGAACCACGAATTGTTGAATAGTATATATATAAGGAGAGGAAATTGTGATGAAAAACATCGAAAAGAGAAAGAAAAAGTGAAAGAGCGTGAGAACGTGAGAGGAGAATGCAAGAGGAAGGAAAGACCCGGCTAGGACGCGCGCAGAAAGAGGCAATGAATCGAAGGGCCAAAATATTGGTGAAGAGCACGACAGTTATTCAGAAATAAATTTTTCTGCGGTCTGAACAAAATGAACGCCAAAAAGTATGTAAGAAATGGAAAGATCATTGGAAGGTACGATGATGGATGGAAGGGACGGAGTATAGGGCTAGACGAAACTAGGATAAGAAACGAACGGCAAAGGAAACGCAGATACAGAGAGGCAGAAAGAGATAAAAAGGGATTTAGGGAGAGAGGGAATAAGATGCAGGAAAGTAGTATAACACGTAGAGAGAGAGAAAGAAAGAGAAAGGGAAAACGAGAGAATTTTGATTTCTTATGAAGCTTCAATTCTCAGACAGCGGTAAGTGACTATAGATAGCGTAAAGATCTGAAGCATGTTTATCCATACATATTTGGGAAAATAATAAATATATGTATTGAGGTGTCCATATATAGCATTTAAAGAACACAATATTCTCAGTTTCTAACCTCTTATACTTCTTTACTCCTTTTTCGTTTACTCTCTTTCAGGTACAACAAGTAAAGTAAGGAGGGAAATTCAGAGAGAGATGGAGGGATAGAGAGGGAGAGAGAGAGAGAGAGAGAGAGACATATGCTTTCGCCTTTAATTAGTCTGAAGTTCTCTTTATTTTTTGCAGAATTTTTCTCCTTTGTTTTGATAATTTGTGACGCAAATCTCTCACAACGATACTCACACCCTTCTCATATGGCGATCACTTGTCGTGTCTTCATGAATGAGGAGACAGACATGGTTCATCTGCAACGAAAAGAAAAAGCTTCGTTAACTGACCTAGTTGGCGTTGGAAAGCACTGAGCAATAGAAGATTATGGGCCGTTTGTGCCGGTAGTCGTAGCGACGACGACCACGGCGTTGGAGACGACGTCTGATGCTTCAGAATGCTTTTAGTAGACACACGAGGAACGCTACTCGTTGTCCGTATAAGCTCATTTGAAGGCTGAGGGGGTGGCGCCCGTTGTTGGTGGTGGTGGTGGTGGTTGTGCTGTTGGTAGTAGTGGAGCTAGATAGAGAACAGATAGAGAACGAGACACCAATTGAGAGAGAGAAAAAGAGAGAGTTCAAGAGAAAATAAACGAAGAAACACATGCAAAATAGTGTTGAGTATGTGGAGGAGAAAGGGCTCTGAAGCACAGCCAAAAAGAAAATGATGGCAAAAAGCGAAACGACGACGAGTACGCCTTGAAGCCACACACATACACACATGCGCGTTATATCAGTTGCCATATACATGTACATGTAACGCGCGATAGATCAATGACAACGTCTTATAGCAGATATGTACGTAGATCAATAAGGTTAATCAGCTATATGGCAGACAAGAAACTCTCAACAGCTAAAGATTCGATGATCAAAACTAATGAATGGCGGAAGATGAAGCCCTTTCATCGCATACATCACACCCAGACATTTTCTATTCACCAAAGTGTTGAGCATTGAAACATAATAAAACGAAATTCATAAAAATCGTTTCAAGACCATTTGTCTATTGGAAAAGCATTGTCCAAATCGCTTTTCTATAAACACAAAATATTTTGCATCCAAATGTTAAGCAGGTAAGTCTATAAACATGGCTGTGATGCGCATGAATTATGAGAAGAGGAGACACACATACACATACACACACACACGCAGTAATTTGTTTTTGCTATTATTTAGATTTCCTAATGTGGTAATGATGATGACGATGATGATGAAGATGATTGAAAAAGATAATTGTTTTTAATTGTATTGATTAGCATCTGCTGAGGATAGTTATCAAAGCTACAAGTGCATGTTCCGTTGATTCGTTTGAATTAAGAATTGATGAATTCAAAAGTTGAAGTATGAAACTACTTTTCTTATACTCGTTACAAACGAATTATTTGATAATTTAATTGAAGAATGTACTTGTGCTAGCAGTGGTGGGAGAATTAACATTGTAGAACTTTTGCAAGAATTTCATTGAAAATTAAATTATTTTTTAATTTTATTGTCCTCTCCTACTCTCTCTCATCCTCTCTCTCTCACTCTCTTACTCCCTCCTCTCTCTTTATTACTATTTATTCTAAAAAAAAGATGATGAAGTGATAAGAAATGATAAGAGTAGATATAATGGAAATGAAAGGAACACAACCGCTCATGGAGTCTGCAAAATGACGAAATGACGTGAGGCATAATGACACAGCAGCAGGGACAGTTTATACGTGAAAGTGACGTGAAAATGCAAATTAGCATTCACGTGAGGATAATGCAGACAGCTGGATGATATAACAATAGTACCAAAAATGATTGTATTAAAAGAAATCTGCGTGTCTACAGATCTCTCTTCCTCTCTCTCTTTCTCTCACACTCTCTCTCTCTCTTAAGCTAAAAGTGAAATGAGATAAAAAAAAGAACTATCCCAAAAAAAGAGAATTAAAGAATATGTGAATGTTTATGTGAATGAAGAGATTCAGACATGTGTAATCAAAGAGAACGAGAGAGAGAGAGAGGGGATGGAGAGTGTTGAATTTTCAACTGGTTTGTCAGCGACTTTTTGTATGCCCTGGAGCGATTTGTGTGAAACTGCGCAAGGTGTTGCCTACATTGGATGCTTGATATGAAGGATTTGATAAATCACATTTGTATAGTTATCATAATAATAATAATAATAATAATAAAGATGTATGTTTGATATTCCAATAGTTCAACAAGTAAGAGATGGACCTTCAACGTCTTCTCTCCGCATTTCTCCTTTCTTCATGTATAGGAGGGAGAGAGAAAAGAGACATTCTCATGAATAAGCAACTAGTAGTTAAAGAGTAAAGAAATGAGAAAAACGAAAGGAGAGAGAGACGGAAAAAGAAAAAATGGCAAGGCTTTATGTGACGAGAAGTATATTTATGTCCATAACGGGCTTATATTTATCGTCTCATTTGAGCTTAAAAATGCTTGAAGAGAAGTAATTTCAGACTTGAAACATACAAGTAGATCAATATGGATATAAAATGGAATAAGCTGATTTCTAACTGCTGTACTTGTTCCTTATAGACCTTTCTCATTCTCATTCCATCTCTCTCTCTCTCTCTCTCTCTTTGTTTTTTTCTCTTATTCTCTCAATAAGTCTTTGAGATAGAGAATGGAGAGAATGAAGAGAGTGGAGATAGAAAGAGAGAGAGAAAATAGTAGCGAGATAAACAAAGTGATTCGAGTAAAGGATCTAAAGGAGCAAAACAGGATTGCGCAGAGGGCAGGGCGAGGTAGAAAAAGCTTCATAGAAGTCTCTGAGTGTTGTATAGTAAAGAAGGAGATGCGGAACAAAACTATAAAACTATTAGCTGAAAAACAATAACGGTTAAGAAACAAGAAAAGCTTCTCACATACACATCCAAACATAGAGAGAGAGAGAGATGGAGAGAGAGAGAGAGAGACATGGGTGTGTATGTGTGGATATACCTTTTGCAGGATTAAAGACCAAACTAATTTCATTAAACAGCATTTTACTTCAGTTTTTTTCTCCAAAAAATGAATAAGTAAATTAATATCAAATTGGAAAACTGACTCCTAAACAAACTTTTAATTCTGTTCAGACACAAACATCAAAAATCGAAAAGTTTTTGAGTTTCATTCCGAGGCTTCAGGCTTCAACCATATTTCGCACTCTCACACAGACACCACTTCTCTACAGTCTTCTATTGTGCTGATGAAAATGACGAATATAAAGGTTTCTTTTCAGTTTTTGACACCATTTATATCTATTTGTTACTAGTTAACTATATGTAGTTAGCTATACGTATACATTTGTATTTTTAAATTTCGTCAATGCCAGGTTTCTATTGAAGCTATGACATGAACGAAAAAAGAAAGAATATCATATCATAACAGCTTTAGCCAATAACAACACTCAGAGTCACACAAAGAGTTTTGATCTACGCCCCAACAACATCCTTCATTCTCTCATACCATTTTGATCTACGCTGGTTGTCGCTTCTTCATTTCGAACTCAGACGAAACTTTTTGATCTATGCCTTTACTTCTACTCCTTTTTCTGATCTACGCCATTCCCACGTACCATATGATCTACACTCTCATGTTCTCTTTCAACTAACTGGATGAATGAGTTACAATAGTCTCTGTTGCTTGAAAATAGGGACAAAAACGGATTTTCTGCAGTTTGTTGACCTCTGTGATTCTTTTCATCTGAAGAAGCTAAATGAAAATAAAAGATTCCATATCCTGAAGCAGAACGAAGTTTGCAAATCAAACCAAATTTGAAGTTGTGTTTGATGTATCCCTCTAACCCCACCTATCTCTTTCTCTTTCAACCCATCTCTCTCTCTCTCTCTCCTAAATGTATTTCATTTGAAAATTCAAATTTATTGAGAAAATGCTTTCGGATTAATGATTGTTTTCTTTTCCATAATTTCTTCGAATTGAAAGGCTCCCTTTCCTCAACCAGACAGCTGTTTCAGTCAGCCAAAATAAACTTTGATCAGCAAAGCACCCATCCATTCCTTAACTATTATTGTTTCATTTAATACCATATTATATATTATTATTATTATATATAATTGTTTTCTTGTGCCATCGAACAAACACTCTACTCACTGACCTCACTGAACTCTCTCTCTCACTCTCTCTGTGAATTCTCTTTTTTTCTTTTTTTTACGTTATAGCCATCTCATTAACTCATCATTCAAACTCATTAGCATGCCTATACGTGAAAAATGGCACGTCAAAATTTACGTGTAGTCACGCTTACAGCAGCTCATTGTTCGTTGATGTGCTAAGACAGAACGGTTGAGATTACGCGCCCTCCCACCTATGCTCCACCAAGTGAACTTTCATGGAATTTCCATGAATGTCAACTTCAGTTTTCATTTTTTGTTTCGTTTTTGCTCCATAACCCGGACATGTAATTGATTGCAGTAATTCATATTTAACGGCTTCAAGAGAGAATGAAAGTACAATGTAAAAGAAAATTTTTTCATCATGTTAACTGAAAAATAATACTTTTCAATTATTTTTTAAGCTGACATCTAAGGTCAAGCCGGTGAGATGAATGGTGAAAGGAAGAGAAGCTATTCGTATCACGTAGTTTGACGAGTGACAACCTTGTCTGATTGACGCTTTTCAACTACAGCTTTTCGTTGTTTCAGAATGATTAGAGAGTGAGTGAGTAAGTGAGTGAGAAAGAGAGATGAGAAGATGAACCACCATCATCCCTCCCCCCACAACTACCACCATCACCACCAACAGCACCATCACATCATTACTGAATTTGATGAACGAAAAGAGCTTTTGTTTATTTAATGAACAATAACTTTCAGTCTGTTTTTGGTTGTTTAAAATTTGCAGGAAAAAAGGAGGAAGAAGAGAAGAAAAAAAAAGAAAACAAAACATTTGTAGAAATTCGTTTCATTGATGGACGTCTGGAGTACAAATGCTGATTGATACCATGAATGGGGTCGATTGAATAGCTTTAGCTCATCCAATATTTGACATTTAAATACATTAAGTAACTATCTCATACGAAATAGCATATAGAATTTGTAGTATTGGGGTGCTCTTCCATACCAAAAAAGGCAAATTACTCATTGCTCCACGGGGCTGTTTGTCCAAATGAAGAGATTGCTGACACAAATCGTCTTTTGCATTTTCACAATTCATTGTCTTTGATTTCAGATGATAACTTTCGGAATAAGCATTTAGCCTAATCACTTCCTTTGCTTTTCCTTCTCTTTCCTCTGATCCTCACACTCCACATACCCCCACTACCACCACTACCATCATCATCATCATCATCACCACCACCACCAGTGAGCTTCGAGCTTTGTCGAGTTTGCAACCTTTCAAGTTTCAATTTTCATGTTTTCCAAAAACCAACAAGAAAAAAGTTTTTTTTTGTTAACAAAACAT